TACAAACTCCTTTCCCTTCCCCTCCCCACAACAGGCACCCTGTGAGGTAGGTGGGGCTGAGAGAGCTCTGAGAGAAGAAGAAGAAGAAGAAGAGATGGGATTTATACCCCGCCCTTCACTACCCAAAGGTGTCTCGGAGCGGCTTACAAACCCCTTTCCCTTCCCCTCCCCACAACAGATACCCTGGGAGGTAGGTGGGGCTGAGGGAGCTCTGACAGAAACTGCTCTTTTTCAAGGACAGCTCTTGTCAGAATTATGGCTTGCCGAAGGTCATCCAGCAGCTTCAAGTGGAGGAGTGGGGAATCAAACCCCGAAGAGGAGGGGGAGGAGGAGGAGGAGACTGGATTTACACCCCGACCTTCACTATCGAAAGGTGTCTCAGGGCGGCTTACAAACTCCTTCCCCTTCCCCTCCCCACCACAGGCACCCTGGGAGGTCGGTGGGGCTGAGAGAGCTCTTTCCAGAACTGCTCTTTCAAGGACAATTCTGACCGAACTATGGCTTGCCCAAGGTCCTCCAGCAGCTGCAAGTGGAGAAGTGGGGAAATCAAAACCCGGTTCTCCCAGATTAGAGTCCGCACACTGAACCACTACACCAAACTGTAGGGTTGTCAACTCCAGGTTGGGAAATTCCTGGAGATTTGGGGATGTAGCCTGAGGATGATGTGGTTTGGGGTTTGGGGAGGAGACCTCTGTGGGGTACGATGGCATAGAGTCTACTCCTCCAAAGCAGCCATTTCCTCCAGGGGAACCAAACTTTGTCAACTGGAGACCAGTCGTAATTCTGGGGGATCTCCAGGCCCCACCTGGAGGTTGGTAACCCTAATTCAGTGCCATTTCCAGGTTTTGGGGACTCTGGGCCGACTGCAAATAGACGCTTAGTCCGACGGTATAAGAACATAAGAACATAAGAGATGCCAATGTTGGATCAGGCCAAAGGCCCATCCAGTCCAACACTCTGTGTCACACAGTGGCCAGAAATACCAGGTGCCATCAGGAGGTCCACCAGTGGGGCCAGGACATTAGAAGCCATCCCACTGTTGACCCCCCCAAGCACCAAGATGACAGAGCATCACTTGCCCCAGAGTCCCTATCTCAAGTGCCCCACTAACAGTGATGTCTCTCAAGGGCCCCACTAACAGCCAGCGATCGTGTTTATAATGGATTTGATTCTGTTCATGCCCTCATGGGGTTGCGGCTCTGGGAAGTGCTAATTGGTTAATCAACAGCATCGGTTTGTCTCTCTGATTAAAAAGATAAAACATAATCTACGAAGACTGTGTGGCTGGAGTTCTACTGCACGGGTGCCTAATCTCTCCCTAAAGATTGCGTTCAATTTTGGGCACCGCAATTTAAGAAGGGTATAGACAAGCTGGAATGTGTCCGGAGGAGGGCGACGAAGATGGCGAGGGGTCTGGAGACAGCTGCGGGTGGTGGAACGGGGAATCAAACCTGGTTCTCCCAGATTAGAGTCCACGCTCTTAACCACTCCACCAAACTGGCTCTCTAAAATTGTTATGTACGTGGACCGCCTCCAGGGGTCCACGGACAGGCCAGAGCTTGGATCCGAAAACAAAGGAAACTTTGGATCCTGGATTCCCCAGCCCCAACCAATAGCCACCTTGGCGGGACATTCAATCCCTCCAATGGGAGTGGGAGGGTTGCTGGTGGATATGTATATAGTTGGCCCCGTGGCCATTAGTCTTTAGTCTTTGTCTATGTGAAGTACAATAAACGTGTGCTAGAGCATGTCGTTGTCCGAGTCCTCCATGCAGCGAACCCAGTACTTTTCAAAAATATTAATGTGTTCAGAATTTTTCCGAACAATTCACCCTCAGTGCCAAAAATGCAACCAAAATAAAGAAGAGTTGAAACATCTTCCCTCTAATAAAAGGATAAAACTTTGGGGGCTTAACTTCTTAAAAAGGTCAGACAAAGATATGCATGACAGAGGTTTATAAAAGTATGCCTGGTGTGGAGAGGGTAGAAAGATGGATTCTTCTCCCTCTCATAATACGAGAATATATGGTTGGCAAAATGAGGTTACTGTGGGCTGGATTCACACTGGTGAATTATACAATTCACGGGCACGAGTTGTTCAGAAGCAGAATACCTCTGTAAGCAAGTTGTGTGGGTAAACAGCCATCAAGCGGCAACCGGTCTACGGAGATGCCAGCAACCGGCCTTCGAGGCAAGTGAGAAGCAGAAGCAGTTGGCGTTGCCTTTCTCTGCTTTCTCTGCAAGCACTGCCCTTGCTTAACTTCAGAGATCTGACGAGATTTGTAAGCAAGTTGTGTGGGTAAACAGCCATCAAGCGGCAACCGGTCTACGGAGATGCCAGCAACCGGCCTTCGAGGCAAGTGAGAAGCAGAAGCAGTTGGCGTTGCCTTTCTCTGCTTTCTCTGCAAGCACTGCCCTTGCTTAACTTCAGAGATCTGACGAGATTGGGTCATACTGTCCCTCCTTCCCTCCAGAATGCGAGTGGCCGAGGGGTAAAAAATTAATGCGAGAACTGCACATTTTCGGTTGGGTTTATGGACTTCCCAGAAAGCCGATTGCCAAAAGGATCCTCTTCTAATGTTCTTAATTATATTTGGGTGTATATATTTTGACTGCAAGGCTACAGGCATAGATGATAACTGGGAGTCCCGTTTAATTTACAACTTTCTCTAATATAATTAGGTCAACGTGCTTGAACTTAGGTAATGCCTTGAGCAATAGGTGTGGGATTGGACAAGTCAAGGTGGGGAGGGGAAGGGTGTGCAGAGAGAAACACATGCAGTAGAACACACCTATAAGAAGCACGGGCAGATAGGATAAGGTAATTCAGTTCATGCTAGACCAACTCAGAGTTCCTTTGGTGTCACCCTGAAAGCATCAGGGAAATGGCAGCGATCAGCACCGGGGTTATTCTCCTCCTCCTCCTCTACGTGATCGTACAGTTGGTCAAACTGCAACGGAAAAAAAAGCAGTTCCCACCCGGACCGACTCCTCTCCCAATTGTCGGAAGCTTATGGCAGCTGAAATTCATTACAATGCGTCGCGATACCCTGCTGGAGGTATTTCTTTTTTTTCTGCCCCGACACTTGAAACGGTTGATGGGGTTTTAGGCGAGAAACGGTGGCAGTGAAGGGGAGTTAAGGGATGGCTTGTGGGCAAGCAAAGTTCATGGGCTGTAGTAAAGTATAGCCGTTCATTGCTCCGGATTGCAAGACTAGATCGAATGGGTGGAAATCACAAGGGAGTCGTTACCGGCTAAATATCAGGAGGAACTTCCTAACTGTCAGAGTGGTTGAGCAGTGGAACAGACTGCCTCGGGAGGTGGTGGAGGCTCCTTCGCTGGACGTTTTCAAGCGGAGGCTGGACGACCATCTTTCGGGTATGTTGTAGGGCTATCTTTCGGCTATGCTCCTGCAGAGTGCAGGGGGTTGGACTGGATGACCTGCAAGGTCCCTTCCAACTCTAACATTCTATGATTCTATGCTGTCTAACTGTAGCAGTCGTGCGACTCCGACACCTGCATTGTGGTTGCAGCTTTGGGAGGTGACTCTTGGAGTGACTGATGATGAGATAATCCTTGCTTGAATACTCCAATCTAGTGTTGCAAAAAGAGACTCCCGTTTTACTTATGAATGGGCAGGTTCATCTAAGTAATGATTTCTTCGAAACTAAGAGAAATGATATTGATCCTCCATCTGCACAGACCTCTGTTGCATTTATGAGTGATTTTGTGTGTTTCCTTATTCTTTATTATAGGGGAAGGACTTACGTTTCAGTCTTTTTCTTCTGCAAAGCTGGTGGGATGCTTATCACTATGACTATCCCCCATCCAAGTACCGACTCTTAGTTTTTGAGATTCGGCAAGCTCGGGCTATACCATAGGACTATCAGAAGAGCCCTGGTGGATCAGACCAGTGGATCATCCTGTCTCGCACAGAGGCCAACCAGTTCCTCTGAAGGGTCAACAACAGGGCCTAGAAACTGAGGCCTTCATAAGAACATCAGAAGAGCCCTGCTGGATCAGACCAGTGGTCCATCTAGTCCAGCATCCACTCCCACACAGTGGCCAACCAATTGCTCTGCAGGGCCAATAACTGGGCATAGAAGCTGAGGCCTTCATAAGGACATAAGAAGAGCCCTGCTAGATCAGACTAATAGCCCACCTAGTCCATCCTTTCTCACACACTGGCCAATCTGTTCCCCTGGAGGCCCAACAACTGGTTGGCCATTGTGTGAGACAGGATGCTGGACTAGATGGAAGACTGGTCTGATCCAGCAAGGCTCTTCTTATGTTCTTAGGAAGGCCTCAGCCTCTCTGCCCTGTTGTTTTCCCTCCAAGGGGGACTGGTTGCCCATGGTGTGACAGGATGCTGAACTCAGTGGGCCACTGATCCAGCAGGACTCTTTTTATGTGCTTGTGAAGGCCTCGGCCTCTCTGCCCTGTTGTTGGCCCTCCATAGGAACTGGTTCACCATTATGTGAGACAGGATGCTGGACTAGGTAGACCACTGGTTTGATCCAGCAGGGCTCTTCTGATGTTCTTATGAAGGCCTCGGTCTCTCTGCCCTGTTGTTGGCCCTCCAGAGGAACTGTTGGCCACCAAGAGGAAGAGGTTGGCCACTGTGTGAGACAGGATGCTGGACTAGATAGACCACTGGTCTGATTCAGCAGGGCTCTTCAGATGTTCTTATGAAGGCCTTGGCCTCTCTGCCCTGTTGTTGGCCCTCCAGAGGAACCGGCTGGCCACTGTGTGAGGCAGGATGCTGGACTAGATGGACCACTGGAACCTTCACATTCAGAGGTGCTAATCCTCAGAATCCCAGAGCCAGGAGGCAACATCAGGGAAAGGCCTCTGTGACCCGTTGTAGGACCTCTGCTTGGCCACTGTGTGTGACAGGATTCTGGACTAGATAGACCACTGGTCTGATCCAGCAGGGCTCTTCTGATGTTCTTTTTGTTGCCCAATCTCTTCAGGGCTCTTCTTATGTTCTTAATGAAAGATAGAATTACCAAGAACATCCTGCTGGGCAAAACCAGAATGGCTTCTGCAAAGAGACGTCAGCATGGCGTAGTGGACAAAGTGTTGGATTAGGATCTGGGAAACATGGGTTGGAATCCCCACCCTGCCATGGAAGCTCATTGGGTGATCTTGAGACAGCCACACACTCTCAGCTTGAGCGTCCTCGCAGGGTTGTTGTGAGGATAAAGCGAAGGAGAGGAGAATGATGTAAGCTGATTTGGGGTCCCCATTGGGCAGAAAGGCGGGATATAAACAAAGTAAAGAAATAAGTCCTTTGGGGTGTTTTTTGAGCGGGTTAATACACACGTGGATGAGGAAGATCCAGTAGACGTCGTATACTTGAACTTCCAAAAGGCATTTGCCAAGGTACCTAATCAAAGACTCCTGAGTAATCTTACGACTTATGCGATAGCAAAGGAGAGGACTGGCTACAATATAGAGACATTTTGAAACCTGTTGGAAAGTCGTTTGAAATGAAGTCAGAAGAAGAGATGGACTATAAATATGGATGTTTACAATACAGACAGGTTTATGATTTGTTTAAAACAGATAAAAAAGACTTTGGGTTTAGGAAAAAATATAATGAAATTGAAAATTTGTGGTTGGAGGGAGGTAAAAAGATGATATCTAAGATGTATAAGATTTTGTTAAAATGGTACACTGAAGATGAAACGGTGAAAGAGCAGATGGTAAAATGGGCAGTAAATATGAATAAGGAAATATATATGTCATCCTGGGAATTTCTATGGGAAAATGCAATGAAAATTTCAACATGTAATAATCTAAGAGAGAATTGCTATAAGATGATGTATAGATGGTATATGACACCAAAAAAGATAGCAAACATAAGTAGTAATTTATCAAACAAATGTTGGAAATGTAAAAAAAATAGAAGGTTCTTTCTATCATATGTGGTGGACATGTGATAAAGCAAAAAACTTTTGGACGGAGGTCCATAAGGAGATGGAAAAAATTACGAAATGTAAGATTAAGAAGGAACTGGAAATATTCCTTCTGGGACTAAAAATGGAAGAAGTCAATATTGCGAAACGGACTTTAATGTGGTATATGATTACAACTGCCAGAATGATGACACTGTCTAACCATCTCATCCTTTGCCGTCTCCGTCTTCTTTGACCTTCAATCTTTCCCAGCATCAGGGTCTTTTCCAGTGAGTGCTCCCTTCTCATTTGGTGGCCAAAGTATTTGAGCTTCAGTTTCATTATCTGGCCTTCCAGGGAACAGTCAGGGTTGATTTCTTTTAGGATTGACTGATTTGATCTTTTTGCAGTCCAAGGGACTCTCAAGAGTCTCCTCCAGCACCATAGTTCAAAAGCATCTATTCTTCGGCGCTCGGCCTTCCTTATAGTCCAGCTCTCGCAGCCATACATGGCTACTGGGAATACCATTGCTTTGACCATGCGGACTTTTGTTGGCAGGGTGATGTCTCTACTTTTTATCATGCTGTTTAGGTTCGCCATCGCCTTCCTCCCAAGGAGCAGGCGTCTTTTAATTTCATGGCTACTGTCACAGTCTGCGGTGATCTGGGATCCCAGGAACATGAAGTCTGTCACTGCTTCCACAATGTACATAAAATATGAGTTAGACAACAATAGATCAACGGAGGTGGTAGTTCCGCATGCTTTGAATCTCATTTGCAGAGATGTTCTGCAGAGTGTAGGGGGTTGGACTAGATGACCTTCAAGGTCCCTTCCAACTCTAACCTTCTATGATTCTATGATTCTATGTCCTTTCCATGCTGGCCATTTGCCCTGTAAAAGTGACTAGCAATGGGCACAGGATTTTCAGTGTTAATGTCATTAACACATGGAATTCACTGCCACAGGAAGTGGTGGGTGCTACAAGCATGGACGGCTTCAAAAGGGAATTAGATAAGCATATGGAGCAGAGGTCCATCAGTGGCTATTAGCCACAAGGTATAGCTAGGGCCATTTACCCTGTAAAAGTGACTAGCAATGGGCACAGGATTTTCAGTGTTAATGTCATGGGTAATCAAATGAGTTCTGCTGGGCAGACCAGTAAAGACACTTCTAAATTTCTCCAAAACAGCATACAGTTGAACAGCTTGTTCTTCCTCTAAAGCAGGATCTAACGAAATATCTTCAATGCCTCCTGCCTGTTGGCATTCGACAAGCATATCTAGAGGCCGTTTGGGAATGTCACCTTTACTTCCCAAAACAAACTTGTTAGGCAGAACACACATGGTATTCTTTCAAAGAGTTCACATGATAGACCTTTGGTTGGGGGTGCTCCTCAGGGCATAAGACAAGATAATGAACAACACTAAATCTGTCTCACAATCTCAGCCAGCCCCACCCACCTCTTCTTCTTCTTCTTCTTCTTCTTCTTCTTCTTCTTCTTCTTCTTCTTCTTCTTCTTCTTCTTCTTCTTCTTCTTCTTCTTCTTCTTCTTCTTCTTCTCCTTCTCCTTCTCCTTCTCCTTCTCCTTCTCCTTCTCCTTCTCCTTCTCCTTCTCCTTCTCCTTCTCCTTCTCCTTCTCCTTCTCCTTCTCCTTCTCCTTCTCCTTCCTGACAACCCCAGGCAGCCTGAAGAACCATGCTCCCTATTTACCATATGCTGCACTTGGCGCTTGGGGGAGGGGGCAACAGTGGGAGGGCTTCTAGTGTCCTGGCCCCACTGCTGGACCTCCTGATGGTACCTGGTATTTTTGGCCACTGAGTGACACAGAGTGTTGGACTCGATGGGCCACTGGCCTGATCCAACACTGGCTTCTCTTATGTTCTTATGCACTCATTATTAGGGTCGCCAGCTCTGAGTTGGGAAATACCTGGAGATTTGAGGGGTGGAGTCTGGGGAGGGCGGGGTTTGTGGAGGGGAGGCACCTCAGCCGAGTATAATGCCATAGAGTCAGTCCACCCCCCAAAGCAGCCAATTTCTCCAGGGAAGCTGATCTAGGTCATCTGGAGATCAACTATAATACCAGGAGATTTGCCAGTGTCACCTGGAGGCTCGTAACCCTACTCATTATGGGACTGTTCTGTGATAAACCAAGGATGCA